TGAATGATCTTGTTAGAGATAATCAGAGAATTATATTTGACATTTATCATAAAATTATCATTTTCCGGAAGGTTCCTCAATTTCCATTCAAATCATCCTCTTTGCCATAAAAAAGGTACTATCATCAGTTTCATTGACAAAATTATTCTATTATCACATCCACGGTTCAACAAAAAAATTTGATAGCTATTCATACTTTTTTAAATAACTGTTATCCTTTTCCCTTTATTTTCTCTACAATTGAACGTAGATTACAATTTCATATACATAATAAATATATTACACATTATTCACGTGAGAAGGACAAATATTTTACGATTCAAATCTATTTCTGAAAATTTCCTTCCCATCTCTAGTATGTTTCATTGTAAATTAACCTTTTCTATTCCCAATACATTAAAAAGCTTTATAAAGAGAGGAAAAGATAAGCTTGATTTCCTATCCAATCAGAATGTTGTTTATAAGATCTCCTGATGATTGTGAGGCGAGTTATGTTGGTCAGACAAAAAGAAAATTGAGTACGAGATTACGCGAACATATCTCTGACATTACAAAGAATACGGGTTCTCCTACTGTCATAATTGATCATCGAATTAAATTTGATCATAATTTTAAATGGAACGATGTGAAAATTTTAGACTGCGAATCTTCTTATAATAAGAGATTCTGAAGAGGTGTCTGAAATGATTCATATTAAAAGACAGAAACACACTTTTTTAATAGACAAAATGATACAGAATCTTTATCTGAAACCTACTCACAGATCATTCAATCTCTTTCTCCTTCTTAACTGCTTTCCTTTCCTATCCATCTCTTCTCTCCCTACTTTTTCTCCCATTTACTTTATTTTCTCCTTCTTATGTTCCTCTTCCTTTTTAGTTTTCCATTTCAACCTTCCTGTCTTTATATGTTATACTTTACTTTATCTCTTAGCTTCCTAGAGAGATGATCAATTTTGATTCCCATCGCATTGTCTAATCGATAACACATCATTTTGACACACATAGTGAGATATTTGTTCTAAATTTATTTGTACTAAACTCAGTATATATATATATATATATATATAATGAATGACGGCATTTTACATTTTCTCTATCGACATTTTATTACTCTTTGTACATGTCTTATAATATCAAAAATAATTTTTGCCTCTTTCTTTTAATTCTAATTTTATTACTTGCGATTGGTTTGTACCTTTTTTTTTACTATTTGCGACTTGATTTGTACTTTTCTTATTATTTTTATTTATTTCTGTCGTTAATTTATTATTACAATTTGTACTTGCTAACAGAAACATGTTCATCCTTGTTCACATACACAGTTCGGGGGAACACTTTTTTGTCAACTACAATCATTTGTTTGGCTTTCTTTCAATTTGGAACGAGTTTTATAGTTGATACTGCGTTCGAAAGCGAATTTTTTATTTAATTTTTATATATTTTATCTACGTAACATTTCTATTATTATCTTGTCGTCACATTGAAAATGATTCAATAGGGATCGAAACGTTTGTTTTTGTTCACTTGCTGACTTTCAAATTAAATTTTACGTTTTTAAATTTCATGACATGTTTTATTTCATTTTTTAACTTTGTATTTAATACATATTGTTATTTTATGTTGATTGTTTAGGCTCGTAGCCCTTTGTTCTTTTTATTTAATTTAATTTATTGAGCCTTATTATTTTTATAATTACAATATATATTATTACAATATTTAATAATTACAATATTTTATAATTATAATATATAATTACAATATTTCTTTCGACAGAATTGTCCAACTTAATCAACATGGAAGCATGTTTGGCTAACGCTGCAAACTCTGCAGTTACCAATCCCGCAAATATTTTTGCGTATCTGATACAAACGCTTTTGACAGCGCAATGTAGTTTGAGCGAAGGCATTTATCCTCCAGATCGTTCAGAGGAGATTGCGACTTCTAATAGAGAATTCGATTTTATCATCGTGGGCAGTGGAAGTGCTGGATCCGTATTGGCCAATCGTTTGACTGAAATAGAAAACTGGAAAGTATTGCTGATCGAAGCTGGCGAGAATCCCTCGATACTGAGCGAAGTTCCTACAGGATTTGTCTTGCAATTACATTCATCGGAGGATTATGCCTACGACATTGAACCCGAGAAATTTGCCTGCCAAGGTAATAAGAATAAGTTGTGCAAATGGTCGAAAGGCAAAGCTCTCGGGGGTAGCTCTACGCTAAATGCCATGCTCTACATTTATGGCAGTGAAAGGGATTACAACGAATGGTCCGAAATGGGCAACAAGGGCTGGAGTTATGACGAAGTTCTGCCATACTTTAAAAAATCTCAAAACTGCGGTCATGGACACAGTGACGAGTGGAGAAACAAGTATTGTGGTCATGGTGGACCGTTGAACATCAGGCATTATAATTTTACCCAACCGATCATACATGAAACGATTTTGCAAGCCGCTCGCGAGATGGGCGTACCTATTCTAGATACCATCAACGGTGACAAATTTATCGGATTTGGCAAAGCTTATGGAACTTTGGATAAAGGTCATAGAGTGAGCGTTTCAAAAGCTTACTTGTCGCCGATCAAGCATAGAAGCAATCTGTACGTGATGAAGTCGACTCGAGCTGACGCTATTCTCCTGGATAATACTCGAGCAGTTGGAGTACGTGTGACTTTGAAAGACGGACGATCAATTGATGTAAAAGCCTCGAAGGAGGTAATCTTATCGGCCGGCAGCATCGCCAGTCCGCAACTCTTAATGCTTTCAGGTATTGGACCCGAAAAGCATCTACGCGAAATGGGAATACCTACGGTCGTTAATTTACCCGTTGGCAAAAATCTTCAGGATCATATCATGTGGTACGGCTTATCTTTCATCTTCAAGAATCAGAGCGCGACACCACTGTCACCTACATTTATGCTAGATGCTGCTTACGAATATTTAGTGCACAATCGAGGACCTCTAGCAAATGTCGGTGGCTTAGATCTTACGGGTTTCATCAACGTACACGATCCGAACGCTAAATATCCAAACATTCAGTTTATGAGCAGTCACTTTTCACAATGGCACATACCCATGGCGACTAATCTTTATAATTGTTTTAACGTGGACACAGAGTTAATTCAAAAGATAACAGAAATTCTAACAGAGGCGGATACGTTCACTTTTCTTTCGGTTCTGTTAAAACCAAAGAGCACAGGCGAGATACGACTACGTAGCAGAAATCCGGCGGATCCTGTTAGAATTTACGCCAATTATTTCTCCGAGCAAGAAGATTTAGATACCATATTGAAATCCGTAGATTTTGTGAAAAAAATGGTTAATACTGAGACATTAAAGCGGCACGAGTTCCGATTGCGTCACTTTGACATTCCTGATTGCCGTCATATCAAATTCGACTCCGATGAGTATTGGAAGTGTAACCTGCGATATATGTCGTCTACGGTCTTCCATCCTGTTGGAACGACGAAAATGAGTCCTCAAGGTGATCCTACAGCCGTCGTGGATCCTCGTTTGAAGGTTCATGGAGTACAGAGATTAAGGGTCATTGACGCATCTATTATGCCGACAATCACCGGTGGAAATACGAACGCACCAACGATAATGATAGCCGAAAAAGGCGCAGATTTTATTAAGGAGGATTGGGCAATTATGGATGGCAAGGACGAGTTGTGAAAGGAAAGCGAACTTTAATATTTCGAAATAAATTTATTTCTCGCGTCTTTTCTTCTCGCTTTCATCTTTTTCAATTTCCCGTATCGTATATAAAACCAATTAATTAAGCGCGTTTAAATCAGTTATATTTAATCCTAGTTTGTGCATTTACGAATTAAAGTATGCATTTTTGCGATTAGACGATTAGATTTTAAAGATTGGGATCCCTGGGAAAATTCTTTTTTATATAAGGGGAGTATTTATTATTAGTAAACAACACAATCTCATCTGTTTTTGTTTTCAATACAGAGAGCAATGTTAATTATTCTTTAGAATGTAATTATTCCTAGACTTTTGTGATTTGAGCGTGACGAAAAATAAAAAACAATTGCGTTTTAAATAAAGAAAATAAATAAAAGTTGTAAGTTATTTATCATTGTAATTGTAAATTGTAATTGTTCATAAAAGATACGTAAGAGTTAGTAATTTTTAATAAAACCGAGTTTTATTAAAACAAACTTTATTGCGATCAAACTGCATTTATATTGTATAAATATTATATATATAAGATGCTTTTTTTTATTACATTATAATTTTAATAAGATATTTAATAAGATGTATAATGATTCAATAAAATTGTTTTCAAATTTGTATTAATTAAATTTTTAGATAATTCAGCAAAACCATTCTTTCTGTCTATTTATTATTATCTTATAATTAATCTACTATTATCTTATGATGTAACCTATTATCTTATAATGTACACAACAAAAATTAAAATGTTCATAATTATATTTGAAATTTATTTATAATTTAATATATAAAAAGCTTTTATTATGACTTTTTTCTTTTTGCCCTCTCCTTTTATCTTATATTTTTGAAATACGTACTTCATGTATATACAAATGTATATACATATTTCACAGAATTGGAAAGGAAAGGTAAAATGTAACAAAAAGTGATTTCAAAATCACTCAGCGAAAGTAAAACTTTCCTCAATGTACACATGAGCAAGTATGCGAATAATCCATATACAACATATGTACATATACACAATAATGTTTTGAAACATTTTAAATATGCAGCCCTGTACAATTTAATACATTATTCCAAATATTGATATAAATTGTGCGTGTGTGTGTGAGGGGGATATATGTATTCAAGCACACAAATTTATTAAATTAACTACATCTAATTTGCTGTGAATACATTCGTAACATATTATTAAAATATTTCATAAAATTAGATATTTTTTATTTCGACTTTTTTTTGCCTTAAGTGAAATGTTGCATTTTTATTATTAGTTTTAATTTTAATTTAAAATTAAAAAAACGTACATTTTGTGGAATAAAGATAAGGGAAAGGTGATTTTACTAGGGTAGTGGTAAGTGTTCATGGTTTATAAGACCAACATAATGCTTAAAGTCTCAGTCTTTCGCTTTCTCTGCCACGTTAAACTGCTCGATCGCGCAACAGCATTTCGATACCACGTGCACCTGTGATACCTTCCGTTCTATCTTTTCGTCGAGATATTTTTGTATCAGTGTCATGATGCAGTGTAATACTTTTGCTGGAGAAAGGAAATTAATCGACGTTTATTTTTGCGCCGTAATGATCTTTCTTTCATAGGTTGTATATATACATAAGACATACATGCATACGTTGTATATAAATATTAATATTGATAATCGGTATAAATGATAAAGCATAATTATCCAACTTAGTCAATGTACATATTGACTAGTTGCATAATTATGCTTTATCATTTATATATCGATTATCAGTTATATACCGAATTATATACCGATTTCAAATTCTACACGATTATGCTAACTAAAATACCAAGTTTATTTTTTCTAAACTTATTACGTGTTTGCATTTAAACAGTGTTCCAAATTAATACTTAAAAATTACGTATAAAGTAAAAATGTTTAGTATCTCTCAATATATATGATTTTAATTATAAAAAAACTTGTTAAAATTTTTAGTTATATTATTTTAATCACACATATCCGCTTTGATCAAAATCACAGAAATGTGAAATGTTATTTATTATCTGTATATAGTACACTATATTAAATAAAATAAATATACAAATAACAAAGATATAAAGATAAAAATATACTGTTGAAACATTCACGCAATTATTATTAGTCGATCGCCAATAATATTATTCTAGAATAATTTATGTGAGAAAGATAAATATGGATGCACAATACTTGAAGTTGCACAATACGAAGTCATCTAATATCTACGGATCCTTTGATTAATTTGAGATTGATCTTTCCATATATATATACACATACGCACACACACACACGCGCGCGCGCGCACATATATATATATATTAAGTTAATCCATTAAAATTTACTTGAAATATGAATCGTAAAAACTAAAATTTTTTGCTTGTTAGGCACTTCAAAAATATTTCAAAAGGAACTTCAATAAAGTTTCCTTTACACAAATTATAATTTATTATTAATTTTCGAGAAAACATTTTCGAAATGTATAAAAAGCAGAAAAACTATTCTTACAATTCTTATTTCAACCAAATTTTTATGGATTCATATCATTGACTATCAATATTTAGGCCAATATTCATAGTTGATGAATCACAAAGCTGCACGCGTATATTAGCATCTTAAAACATTACACTTCAGACGATTTTAACATAAGAACCGATTATGTATACCAGCCTTAGTAATGAAAATTAGAAACTTACAATATAAATTTATAATTGAAACTTATAATTGATGATTATAACTGATCAAGTTGATTTCAAATTGATCAAAAGGAATTTACAAATAAAAAATTTGCATCGATTTTATAAGTTTAAAATAATTTTAATAATAATTCCAGAAATATGAATTTATCAAGAAAACATTTTTATATTAAAAAAGAAAATATATATCTTTTTTCAGGTTTTTTAAATATTCACGAAATTGAATTAAATTTAACGAATGGTGTAATGCAACTTCCTAAATTGTGACAATATCCATGTATATACATATAAAATATCCAGTAATGTGATTTGATAACAGTCTCCAGTTTCACACTATTTTGTTAGTATTCATAATCAAAATCCTTTCTTATGATTATTTATTAATTATATCGTTAGTTTAAATTGCTTATCATTTATTTGGGAACTATTTAAATAAAATGTTAAATACGAAAATGTTAAATACTGGAAATGTTAAATACAATACATGAATGTCGTTTCATGAAATTATGCAAACATCAGTTGCCTAATTTCTTATTCCTTAATTATTAAGAAGACTACACGTTAACTTTGAATAGATATATGTAAGCCAAGGATATATAAAAACATTAACTGTTATCAATACAGATGTTAGTCAATAATTTATTTTTCAATTAGCAAAATATGTTATTTCAACTTATAATGATAATTTGATTAAAAATTAGATCCTCATTGGTCACCTTCACATATAAAATTTTCTCTCTATATTCTGCTATTAATGAATGAAAAGAACATTGATATTATTTGGGGTTGAGTAAAAAATAACTTACAAGATGGTAGCGATTGGATTAACACGTAGTTTATACACACATACATTCACAAAAAAGAATATAAGAGTATGTAAAATGTATCTATCACAGAATAAGTAAGACTGGCTAAACATGTTCAAGTAACTTGTCAAAATATGCATGCACAAACCGCAGATACAAGTTTATTGGAGCGGATGATGAAACTGCAGTTATCGCAAATCAATACATACGTATAATAAACTTGCATAAATATAAATAAAACTAAATAAATATACTGAAGTATACTAAAGTATACTAAAGTACACTGAAGTATATACACCACAAAAAAATATTTTGCTGCTCCAGCTAAAATTATAGCTGTTTTTTTAATCTGATAGAAAATTATATATAATATATCATATGCATAGAATTTATAGCACAAATTTAAATTCTATCTCTGTCATCTATATGATTAGATGCAATACATATCCATTGCAGTACTTGCTAGAAATTTATCTATTTTAGCTATTTTTCGAACTTAAATAATTTTTGCTATAACTGCAAAATCAATTTTTTTAGAGAGTACTGAGAATAAAAATTGTTAGCCTGATTAAATGCGTTTAATTGATAGTGATTATTCAAGTATTTATATATTTAAGTTATTTATATATTTATTAAGGTATTTATATATTTAAGTTAAATATATATATATATCAACATATTATTCGTTTGAATTAACAAATACTTGATTAAATTAACAAATATTTGCTTAACTTGTGAAAGCTGCATTTAGTTGAAGCAACCAATATTTTTTTGAAACAGCAACTTTTTTATATCATATAATATTTTTGTTCATTTTTACCAACATGAGAAAATACGGTATTAAAAAATTTTGAAAAAATTCTAAAAAAATTCTCAGAACTTTATAAGAAAAAAATAAATGATTTTTGTCTCTTGCAGTTTTTCTGTAAAGTTGATAGTAAAAAATTTGAATAAAAAATTATTCAAGATCAATATTTGACAATTGTTAGTAATTAATATCTTATTAACTATTGCGAAAATTGCAAAATGGTAGAGGACTTTTCGACTCAGTTTAATCCTCTCTACCTGCCCATGAAATATTTGGCGATTATTTTCAGACACCCTGTATAACATGAAAAATACAGACATTTTTCTATCATATGTCAATCTTATAAATTTAATCGTGAATCCTTTCATTATAAAAAAAATCAATAATTGTAAGTACCTGATAAATAAAATAAATTCTTATTTTATTTTCAGATCCTCGCACGAAGTCTCAAAGAGTCTCGAAGTCTCAAAGAGAAATATTCTGACAATTTCCATAATTAAAACATATAACCGACGACGGCTTTTTTTATTTCTATATCTATCAATAAGCAATTTCTGTTACATAACGTTTTTTTCTTCGAATTTTCCTTCGATTGGGCTGACATGCACCACAATTACAATTATAAGCACTATGAAATCGCTAACAAGACGCACAATAAAATAAGATAGATTTTAATTGTTATGGTACTGAAGATAATTTCTATAAGAAACAATTGGAAAAGACATTCGTGATACAAGAAGTGAAAATTATTTAAAGCGTAAATTCGCTATTCGAATGCATAAGTTTCAGACGAGATCAATAGTAATCGAAAGCACGATCAGAACGAGAAATGAGCATCGCGACAGTAGTCGGCACCGCTATAAAAACAGCCAGTGTCCTTCTTGGCGTCGGTATCGGTAAAATAACTATAATCCCAGTGTTGATTGCCGCCCTAGCGTATTTCAATTATGACCTCATGGACCCGGAAAATCATCCACGCGTAACGAAACAATTAAGGAAAGAATACGACTTTGTTGTAATCGGCGGCGGTTCAGATGGCAATGTGATCGCCACCTAATTGGAATGTGCTTTTATTGGAAGCCGGTGGACACGAAACCGAAATAACCGATGTTCCGATACTTTCTTTATATTTGCATAAAAGTAAACTTGATTGGAAGTATCGTACGCAACCGCAGGACACAGCTTGCCAGGCGATGGTCGATCAACGATGTTGTTGGACTAGAGGCAAGGTACATATATGTAAAGAGATACAAATCTATTTAGTTCAGGAAGATCTCGAGATAAGATAACCAGAAGTTGCACGTAAAAAATATCAATATCAAATGAGAACATAAATGTTTTAAATACAATCAATACTTGCATATATATTATACAGGGTGGGCCATCTATTGGTACGTTTTTAAAAATGCGATCAAATGAGCATACATTGATATTTTTTATTAATTTTTTTTTTGTTGTGAAGCTAAAAGTATCCGCGTCAAGAATGAAAAACGATTTCGTTCATGTGGTTCCCTCTACTGGCCTTACAGTATGCCATTCGGTCACCCCAATTATTAATGACATTTTGGACTATTGTTTTTCAAAGCTGGAATTGTCTCACACTTTGGGCCACAGCCTCAATATTCTCGGGTGTGCGCACTGTCCGAGCTCTGGGACCACTTCTGTCATCCACTAACATCCCTTTCTCAAGAACTTTCCTCACCAATTTGCGTATAGCTCCTTCGGTGCTCCATATTTCTTTTCAAAATTCGTACAGTTTCGGCGACACAGCACTGACTTTGAAAATAAGTTTTTAAAATTTCAAAACGCTCTTCAAGAGAAAACATGTTGTTTCGTGCCGCGGACGGTATGACTAATAAACTGTCAAAATTTCGGGTCTGTAGCTCGTTCGGTGTTGCCATACGACGAAATTCAAAAACGTACCAATAGATGGCCCACCCTATATTGTAATCTAATGGCCTAGGACGCTAAACGTACGGGTTCGAGTCAAGGTATATTTTTTGCAATAAATTTATAAACAGTTTCAATATATTAAAATTTTTATATTATGATGCTTAATAGTAGCATCAAATTATTAACTTGCTTGTCAATTTAATTCGCGATTATTAGAGTAGTTTTAATTGCGTTTATAGTCCGGAAAAACAATTCGGCGCGCAGTTCTAAAAACACTACAATATGGTATATATGCAAGTACATATATAGTGTATATTAGTAATTCAAGATTGAATGATTTCAAGCAATGAAGATCCAGCTTCGATCGTAATAGGCATTTTTCTAGTATTAATTGTGTTTCTTACATATGCGGTCTAAAATAAAAATTCTTAATATTGTTTATAAATATTTTATTACTTGTAGTAGAAATATTATACTTTGAATAATTATACGAGAAAAGAAAAATTGTATCCAATTCTAATATAATATTTCAGATATTTCAAACTTATTTTCAAGTGACCTATACTGATCTGTATAAATTAAACTCTATTGTAATGATATTAATTTAGTAAAAACTCGCTATCTGTAATCCAATAAATTATGTTTAAATTGAAATTATGATAACAATGTTAATTATTGGATATAAAAATTGTTTCCGATTGTTGTCGTATATTACAAAGTATCGAAGGTCAAATATATGCATGGAATGCAATTAGAGCTAGAGTGAAAGTATAAATACTTCGAGCCATTACTTATTTACAAGGTCTACAACAGAAGTCATAGCATCTTAAGTCGTAGGAAATCGTTGAAAATTGACCAATCATAGTCGATCTTTTCATATTGGATTGTGATTCGTTTCTATGATTTAAAACCATACAACCGCTATTGTAGACCCCGCGTTATTCAGTATACAAAACTTTTGTCTTGTATTGTGTAAGTCTATGATGTCTGTAACGCATTATTTCATACCGCGGCGATTAAATTAATTTCTAAGTACAAAAATAAGATTGAAAAAATGAAATGCACTGAAAAAAAATTTCTGATTAAAAATAAACAAATCAGAAAATGATTATATCAATCAGAGTATCAATCATGTAACGTTTTCTCGAGAGTGGAAACGTGAAAAATGAAAATTTTTATGTATTATATGTATGTACACATACTAAAATTATAACAAATTCAACCAAAAAATTCTGATTTGTTCATTCTTAATCAAAATTCCAATTATACAATTCTAATGTAACCATAAGACTTTTTTATCAATGTATATTGGAGACCGCAACTAAAAATGCAAGCTAATTAATTTATTCGCTTGACCGAATGCTGTTTTATTTTGTTGCGCAATATTTACAATCGATTTAACATTTCAGGTTCTTGGAGGATCTAGCGTTTTAAATACAATGCTGTACATACGCGGCAATCGACGTGATTTTGATAAATGGGAAAGTTTTGGAAATCCTGGTTGGGGATACGAAGATGTATTGCCGTATTTCAAAAAATCACAAGACCAAAGAAACCCATATTTGGCACGCAATACGAAATATCATGGTACAGGTCCGTATACTTTTTTATGTTTGTCATAATCTTCCCCTCTCCCCTCCTCTCTCTCTTTCTCTGTATTTATCGTGCACGCATTATTCTATGTATATTATTTTAAAAAATTTTTTTAAAAACTAATCCGTGTATGTGTGTGAGTGAAATAAAATATAAAATCCCGATAAATATTTATTTTTTTCAAAATCCTTTTTTTCAGGAGGATACTTGACCGTGCAGGATAGCCCGTATGTCACTCCATTGGGCGTAGCGTTTCTTCAAGCTGGAGAAGAAATGGGCTACGATATTTGTGATGTTAATGGTGAGCAGCAAACTGGTTTCGCCTTTTTTCAGGTATGTGTGAAACTGTTATTATTTCACGAAAATTCCATTTAAATATTGAGATTTCTGACTTTATTTTCTTTTAGCTTACAATGCGGCGGGGCGCTAGATGCAGCACCGCCAAAGCATTTGTACGACCTATTCAACTTAGAAAAAATTTTCATCTCTCCCTGTGGAGCCATGTGACTCGAGTGCTGATAGATCCGCAGAGTAGAAAAACGTATGGGGTAGAGTTTATTAGAGATGGTCGTAAGGAAGTAGTGTCCGTCAGGAAAGAGGTGATTCTTTCAGCAGGTGCCATTAATAGTCCACAATTGTTGATGTTATCCGGTGTAGGCCCGCGCGTACATCTGGAGGAATTAGGTATTCCCGTGATTGAAGACTCACCCGGAGTCGGGCAGAATCTGCAGGATCATATAGCGGTTGGCGGGCTCGTCTTCCCAATCGATTACAAAGTCAGTATCGTTATGAATCGAATGGTGAATATTAACTCGGCTCTGAGATATGCCATTACCGAAGATGGCCCGTTAACATCCAGCATCGGTCTCGAGGCGGTCGGCTTTATTTCAACCAAGTATGCCAACCAGACCGACGATTGGCCTGACATTGAGTTCATGTTGACGTCCTCGTCAACGAGCTCTGACGGTGGTAATCACGTAAAGATCGCTCATGGTTTGACAGACGAATTCTACAATGAAGTATTTAGTAAAATCAACAATCAAGATGTTTTCGGAGTATTTCCAATGATGCTTAGGCCTAAATCACGCGGTTATATCAGACTGAGATCCAAGAAACCTTTAGATTATCCGCTGCTTTATCATAATTATCTCACCCATCCACATGACGTGGCAGTGCTTCGCGAAGGTGTCAAAGCGGCTATCGCCTTTGGCGAGACCAATAGTATGAAAAGATTTGGTTCCAGATTTCATAGCAAACCATTACCCAATTGCAAGCATATTCCACTGTATACCGACGAGTATTGGAATTGTGTGGTCAGGCAATATACCATGACCATTTATCACATGAGCGGAACCGCCAAGATGGCTCCATCCGATGACCCGATGGCGGTCGTGAATCCCGAGTTGAAAGTCTATGGGATTGAGGGACTGCGGGTAATTGACGCATCTATCATGCCGACTATCACTAGCGGGAACATTAACGCACCTGTCATCATGATAGCAGAAAAGGGTGCCGATATGATAAAGGCAAGATGGATGTAATCGTCTCGTTCCAAAAAACATGATATTATTATTATTATTATTATTATTATTATTATTATTATTATTATTATTACTACTTCTTGACACGCTGTTCCCGATCGATACATAGTTACATAATCGCACAATGTAACTATAGAGATGCACGGCTAAGTGAAAAGTAAGATCAAATAACAGCTTTAATTAGTAACATTACATATTTTAGTGAAAAAGATTAGTTCCAAATTTAAAATATGAATTATAGCTTGTAAGAAGAAAACAAAAAAAAAGAATAATTGTTGCAGCAATCGTTTAATATTCGTAATATTGAACTTGTTCATGAATAAATTTTTCTCAATAAATAGAGCTCGAACATTAGCAATATAGTTCATAATGCAACATAATAACAACAGAATTGCATCCGATCTCGACGATTATTTTCAAAAATGCTATTTCAAAAAAGAAAATATTTTCGTCTGCAAATCAAATGAAGTGCAATATACTGCAGACTTAAAAAAATCGTTAAGATTCGTTTATTTGATACAAGATTTATTTATCTACCATCTTTTTATTATGTCAACAGCAGGCTAATTGGCGCATACTTGTCATATCAGAATTTTGTTGATTAAAACGCTATTCTGTAATTGTTTCGGAATAGTCACATAATCAAATTTTAGATACTCGCACGTAGACTGTCAAGAGGATGATTAATTATATGAATATTAAGTATGAGATTTTGCCATAATTGTGCCAAAAATTATATCGACGAGATTTCATTACGCATAATAAGGATGTTAAATAACATAAAAATCTATTAACTATGAATATGTTCCACTTTTAAAACAAAGATTTTATTTAAATAAAATATTTTTAATCTCTCTTTAAACTTCTTTGAAACTCCTTGTGAAATTCACTCCGGAATCATTCCGATTTTTAAACGTCACTATTTATTTTCGTATTAATTTCAAATTTAGTATTTATTTCTCCGTAAAAAATAGAGATAATGAAAATTGAGATACAAAAAATTTTTTATTTATATAAGATAGTCTTTAATAAGCAAATAAATAATATAAAAAAATGTGTATTTTCTCTTTAAAAGAGAGGCAATCCGTAATATAATATAGATTACATACGAATGAGATAATTGTGTAATTTAGCATTTCTAAGATACAAAACCGACATAAAAATTTTCTAAGCCAATTAAATTAGATGCATCGGCCGTAACTAATTTGCAATTGCGTCAGGACTACTACGTTCTCCATTATAATGACATGGCACATAGTTCAAACTACTGTTGTTGTAATACATAATTTCGTTTCTGTGGTAATCATTTTTTATTGATTTATCCATAAGGTACTACACATAATGTATACAATGACGCAAATATATGCTACTATAATGATATATAAGCTAAGGCAAAAGTGTATCGTATACATGTTCACATTGATTCTTTATTTAATACTTGTATGACAACAGTAAAAGTATAAAGTGTCGTTAAAAATTGAATAGTTAATAAAACATTTAATATCATTTATTTTTTATTAATTGGTGATGTAATACACGGGCACATTGGGGCAATAATTAACGTAACAGAACACAAATCTCGACTTGTAACAGAACACAAATCAAATAGCGCGATGTTAAGTATACATAAATTTTTCACACATTCTGACTATATTTTTGCATAAGAACTTTGATAAAAAATAAATAAATAAATAAAGAACAAAAAAGTTCGGAAAAAAATGATTTTTATCATTTAAATTATGTTCTACTCAACTTGAACCTGAACTTCGATAAAGATAAAAATTTTACTATATTCAATTGTAGCAATAATTTATATAATATATAGACATTTATTTTAAACATGTCTTCTTTTTTCAATTTTGAATAATCGAAATCCGAATTCGATCTGGCAGCGTCCTCGAATACATCATGTCGATTGAGAAATGAAAGTAAATTTCACCTGTAATTCTTTACATAATCGATTTAATGTTGCGAGATCGTTACTCATCATAAAGACGCTGTGGATTCTTAGATAGAGGGAAGATGTCTAATCGTAGCCCTTAGCAGCTTAACAAAATTGTAATAAAAGTACTGAAGAGATCAGAATATTTCTATACTTGATTATCAAACTTCTATTAAAAATCTAGTAAAAATATTACGTTATTTTTAAAACTTTTTTTGTTGATATCTTTTTAACGAAGAACAACCGCCATCCAAAACCTGTTGGAGGTCACTCAGAACCATGATTTTGACAACAAGGTCAAGGTCAAGGTCATTGGTCAGGTGTCCCTTAATCTGAATAATTATCTTTTTTTTTCCAGGAAGAGTATATTATACAGATTTAGTATTAAGAATAGCCGCATAAATACAATATTCATTTTCAATTTTTTATTCTTAAAGAGAATTGTTCTAAAAAGCGGCATTTTAATGTGTAAAATTACATTGTTATAAATTAAAAAAATATTCCGGTATTTCTGTCAGAAAAAATTAATGTTAAGGACACAATGTTAAGCAGCAACAACATAAATAGTGACAGAAATAGTACAAAAATAAGCGATATACATACACTCGTAATTGTCGCTTCTCGTTGCACAATGCCGCGAAAGAAGTTAAAGACTAACTAATCTGACGCGTACAGACCGTAATATTGGGTTATCTAAAAAGTATCCGCGGTTTTTTGTCACTAGACGTGTTGATGGTCAACACATCTAGTGACAAAAAACCGCGGATACTTTTTAGATGACCCAATATATTCTTTCATTTGCTTCAAGATTATAACGTACATGAACAAAATAAAAAATTTACTTATTTAAAACCTTTTGTTTCGTACTCTGCAAACGTCTCTCTATCGAATATATATTTTATAATGTTCATTCAGAGCTCAAACTGGACACAGTTCTTTAATTATAGATACTTCTTTAACTATTGTAGATTCTATAACTATAGATACAAATCTGAAAATAATTTTGTTAGAATAATATCAAAATAATTACCTAAAATGCTTAAACATGATAATGTAAGATGAGTACACGGTGATGAAGGGAGAGGTTGGTAGTAAAAGAGGAAAAGATTAATGGCGAAAATCTATCCTCACGAAGATGCCGATATGGCAACGGGATGGCTAAATCTATGAGAGGGAATGGGAAAGAATCAAACTCTCATGGATGTATTATAGTATTTTGTCAGGAATCGTAGGACGGATTAGAGCATGGAACAAGATATATAAAGCATGTATAAATACGAATGAGCTTCAGAGAACACTGCTTTATTCCCCTACACGTCTTCTTACTTAGGCGACTTCTTACTATTGCAACAACAACATGATAATTTTAGCGGGAAAGTCGTTCTGTCGTTCTTCTCATGCTTAGATGTCGCAGGCAAGCGACCAATAAGACGCTGACTATAGAGGAAAGCCAATAATCATCATAGTATAATCACGTGACCCCAATCAAACGCAAGATAACTCATGATTGTCAACCGAGCAGTTACAGTATAACGAATATAATTAAAATTGCAAACGCGCATAAACGCTTATTTCTTACAATAATAATACTTTAAAAAAATTTAACATTCTGGCAACCAGTTTGAGTATTCTATATAATTATTAATACGATTGTCCAACAAAAACATTTTTAGATTTACATCTAATTAAATTTTTAAATTTCAATAAAACTACTCTTTCGATGTATTTTATAGTTTGTAGGACATAATTCGTAAATTCTTGAGCTAAATTATGTATCTTTATTGATCTTAAATATATAAAATTTAAATATATAATATAAAAATATATAAAAATATATATGATACAAGTGTAAAAAGTGAATTATTAAATAAGTATCATTTTTCATACCAAAATAATTTTTTAAGTAAAAAAAAAAGTTTCGCTTTCGTACTTAAGTAATTAATTGAAAAATTATTAAAATGTTAATATTAAAAAATATATATCCGCATTTATTTAAATAGAAAAACACCAAATGTAAATATGTTTGCTAAAAAAGTTTTTTTTAACTCTCACAAATTATTAACATATACTATATTTTCATCCAAAAAGAGTCGATTGCAAATTTATTTGAGATATATCTCATTAAAATTAAAATCATGAATTGTAGAATAAGATGCCTAGTGAAAAATATGCGCTTCTCTTTCGTTCTTCTCTCTCTCTCTCTCTCTCTCTCTCTCTCTCTCTACATCAAAATGTACGACATGTTTGATAAAGAGAAATTAGATCTGAGTTTATACTACGCATGCAAAATGAAAATTTTCACTTCTTATTGATGCTGTTTTTACTTTTGCATCTATTTTGTGTGATATTTGTAAAATTTTATCACAAACAAAAAATAAACAAAAAATATATTCTTGCAAAACCAAGGTTTCGTGAATGTTGCAGTTCACTTTATCAAGGCAGAGAGCAGTCTAATATGACTTCTCGTAAAAAAAAAACGATGATAATTATATCTATTGCTCGATGAAGCCATTATGAGACTTTGTGGAAAAAAAAGTGGAACATCACTGCTGAAAGACCATTTTAGAATACATAAATCAAATTATTATCAATAGCGAGTTATTTCCATTATTTTTTAATTTGATCGATAAACCAATCACACAATTTTCGCAATTGCATTTCAATGCAGAATTACAGAACATATACATTGTACAATTACTGTTATGAATTTAAATTGATTTAGGATGTATGGTTATAGAATTCAACATATTTTTTTCTCCGGATGTAAGATAAAAATAAAAATACAAGATATAAAATTATACAATATACCATTCGAGATAATATCGTAAGGCATCAACTCTTTCTATTTGTAACTAAGATTCTAAAGTTCTTTAGAATTTATTGCAAAATAAGGTTATTGTATCGAAAAGTTGCAAAAAGTGAAACGCGATCGACAAGATCATAATTTCTTTCTCGCTGCAATTCTTACGAGTCGAGATTTAACGAAAGAATCGAAGCGCAGCGCATAGTCTCGAGGTAATGTAACGAAACGTAGATGTATGGATTGGAGAAGCACTACCTGC